CCAGCAGGTCAAAGGAGGTGATTCTGCCCCTCTGCTCCACTCTTGTGAGACCCCACCTGGAGTCCTGCATCCAGCTCTGGAGTCCCCAACATAAGAAAGACATGGACCTGTTGGAGCGCGTCCAGAGGAGAGCCACGAGGATGATCCGAGGGCTGGAGCACCTCTCCTATAAGGAGAGGCTGGGAGAGTTGGGGCTGTTCAGCCTGGAAAAGAGAAGGCTCCGGGCAGATCTTACTGCCGCCTTCTAGTACCTAAAGGGGGCCTACAGGAGAGCTGGGGAAGGACTTTTTACTAGGGCATAAAGTGACAGGATGAGGGGGAATGGCTTTAAACTGGAAGAGGGCAGGTTTAGATTAAACATTAGGAAGAATTTTTTCACTTTGAGGGTGGTGAGGCACTGGAACAGGTTGCCCACAGAAGTTGTTGAGGCCCCATCCCTGGAGGTGTTTAAGGCCAGGCTGGACGTGGCCTCGGGCAACCTGGTCCAGTGGGAGGTGTCCCTGTCTATGGCAGAGGGGTTGGAACTCGATGATCTTCAAGGTCCTTTCCAGCCTAAACCATTCTATGATTCTGTGATCTTTTAAACACCTCCAAGGCTGATGACTCAACCACTTCCCTGGGCAGCCTGTTCCAAAGCTTGCCAACCCTTCTGGTGAAGAACTTTTTCCTAATATCCAATCTAAACCTCCCCTGGCGCAACTTGAGCCCATTTCTCTCATCCTATCACTTGTTACTTGGGAACAGAGACTGAACCCACCTGGCTACAACCTTGTTTCAGGTAGTTGTAGAGAGCGACAAGGTCTCCCCTCAGCCTCCTTTTATCCAGGCTAAACAATCCCTCCTCATAGGACTTGTCCTCATTTGCTTGTGTCTAATTAATCTGCTAATCCAATCAATCTGTGTAATCAATCCGCTTTTGATTTCAAGCATTACTGCTCTCAAAATACTGAAAAATTATAAATATCAACTAGTTGTGATTTTGCTAAGAACTTAACCGTTCCAAATCTCAGCAAACTCAAGGCATGCTTACCTGTTGCTCTGCTTCTTTCAATATAGCTTCCTTCTCCTTCACTCTCTGCACAAACTGTTGTCTCATCTCCTCCTCTTTTCTTTGCAGTTCAAGGTAGAACTCGTGCCTCTTTGCCTCATAGGCTTCCTGTAGACTGAAGTCCAAAAATGTAAGCAAGTCTCCAGCACGCTGCTTTATTCAATGTATAAAACCAACAATCTGGAACATTATTTAAATAATTAATATTCATTTCTACAGCTCCCCACATAAAAATTCATAAACAAACCTAAACAGAAGCAACCATCTTACCTTTCTAAATTTTTATTGAAGTAAACAACCCTGAGTAAAATTATTTATGCTAACAGCTCCTGGGCAATTTACATTTCAGAGTAAATATAACACTTTAGGAATCTCATGTTCTAAAAGACTTGAGTTATAACTTTCTGCCTCCAACAGGCATAACCTTTTTCTTTAAGTTACTTATTAATAAAACACCACAATTGCCAGAGAAATCCTCCAAAATTTATGCATTGTGAAACCTCAGCCTTAGAATAGGACATGACAAAAACAATGCATCTGGAGCATTAACACAACTAACAAACTGATTATTCCTATACGAAAAGGAAGGAAAATAACAGGACCTTCAAAATATATATAGCACTCTCTTATGACAAAATTTAAATACGGCAGAGTTACAGTAATATAGAATAAATACAATTTCCTCAGTAGTTCAGCATCCAAAAGATAGGGTTACTTTCCAACATGCATCAGCCAAAACCTCAAGACTGCTTGTTTTTTCCTGAATCCTCTTTCCCAGAAGCTAATAGACTGCATACATACCGCACTTATATTTGAAATTATATAGGAGGTGTAAATTAGTTCAGATCATTGAGCAAATATCTGGCAACAGAACAATACAGTAAGTAATTAAAACATTTCTTTACTTTTAAATCTATGCTTCTTTTTTTTTTTTTTAAACAAAGTTACATTTTAGTACACAAGACTTTTTTTTTTTTTCCTCCAAACAAGTAGCTGAAATTGAGAACCTTCTTTCATATCAAAGCATACCAAAGCAAATTAAAAGATGCTGGTAATTTATTCATATGCTACTAGAGGTTTGACATTTTCAGGGTCTATACTACCACTGGTATCACCACAGTGCTGGCAGGAAAAGTTCTGCTTTTCAGGGAAAAAGAAAAGGAGCTTGTACATATATGTATCTCATACGTCAAAGAGCATGCTACCTTTGAAAAGCACACCTGCTTAATGACACAAATTCTTCCAACAAAACATTTACCACAAACTTCTCACAAGTCACAAGAGTTCAGAGAGGCAGAATTGGTGGATCAGAGCTGTGCTAATGGTTATTATAAAAACAAAAGGATCTCTCCAATATCTTGTAGGACATAGGGCTTACAATATTCTAGGTCTTTATGCTGGGGTTATTCTCTTACATGATTGATCTCTTCTACCACTTCCTGAGCACTGACTAGTCAGCCCTTCTCAGCTACCTGAGAGTTACTGTCCTTTGCCAGGTATCTCATGCCTTCTACTCTGATGTAAAATAAATATATATGTATAGCAAATATTTAAATTTTATTTATATTTTTAATACACTTACACACATTCGTACCAGTTTTTAAGTCTCATCTTTTACTGTTTCTATTAAAACAGTTTAGAAATGGAAATACTTAAAGAAAAGGACATCTAAAAACTTAATTATTTAGAGCAACAGTAAGCTTAAACAGTTCTCTTCTATATTTAAATTTACAACAACTGGGCAGTTTCCCAATCCAAAAGTTTCGTATTTGTATTCAAAAGGGAGAGAGAAGAATCGTCTTGAAATTGCACATGCAGACCTAATGTTTGTAAGGTTGGAGAACTCGTCCTGTCCTAACTTAATTTGAGCAATACATTGCAACAAAACAAATTCAAAACAACCACCTTTTGGGGTTTTTTTGTTTTGTTTTGTTTGGTTTTTTTTTATCAGCTGGGAAGTAACTTAGGTTACTCTGAAATTGTATTTACCACGTGAAAGGACGGTACGGTTTTCACACAGCTGTATTAACTCACACTACCTTTAAGTTTAGACAGCATATGGAATAAGAATAAAGCTACAGTACAGGTTTTTCAAGTGCTAGCAATCTCACTATACACACTTCTGGGCCCTGTGTCAGTTCTGCTAGCTCACATGCTGCCTTTGGGTGCAATAAAGCTGCTAGAACAAGTGCTAGACTAAGCTAACATGCTGCAATTGCACCTTCATTTCATTATGTGGACATCTTTACACTCAATCTAAGCTAGTTTGAAATTAGTAAAATATTAACTTTGAAGACACTAGATTTACTAAGCAATCATATCACATGTATAAGGAAGAGGAGAAATAAAAGTGTATTTTTTAAATTCCCCCTCCTTCTGGACTGAATTGTTCTGGAAATCACAAAGACAAAATTAAAACAAACTTTCCTCTTCTGTTTTTGGCATATCAGCAACATAATGGTCCAAACAGTCTTCTGTTTTAGGAGGTCTGGGGAGGAGGGGAAAATAGTTCACCAGATCTTAAGCCAATCCTTTCAACATTACTGCATCTATCGCTCACAGTAAAACACTTTTCAGTTTACCTGAAGACTGGTTTCACTGCTTCTCATATAGCACATTATGAAAATCAAATTCACAGGTTCTCTCACTCTTCTGGGTTGGACTTCTAGAATTTTATACTCTGTTTAAAACCACTTGCAAAATTAAGACGTGGAAGACAGTTATTAAAATAACGTGTTCTTTTTGAGGTTTTGGAGGAAGGGAAAAGATTGTGAAGAAAGTCTACACCTAATCCGTTACATACCTCGTAACAGCACTATCACCTACCTTTCTACTGAAGCATAGCTGTGACATAGAGTTTTTCTATCTGCATAAGACTTAGAACATGGAAGCCTAAATATAAAGATGCAAATCAAACATGTTATGTTCATGAATAAAGATTCTGATTGAAGTGAGTTTAGCTCTCAGTGGAACACATTTGTGTGCTTTGAACAACAGATATGTACAAAATATTTTAGTTTGATCATTTAAATTTTTAAAAGCTTACAAATTTTAAAATTACACTGGTAACTTTTTGCAAAACATTTGACTATCAATTAAGGTATATCAGAAAACCTAAAAAATTTAAAAGTTAACTAGTAGCAGGTATTTTTAGCATGGTCCCTTGACTCAGTGAACTACCTAAGCTGATATCAAGCAACACTAAGGATGTGGTAATCTAAATAATTACCATTTTCCCAGCGAAGGCATGAAAAACAGGTATTTTGGATGCGGTTCAGTCTTACCATAAAGAGGTTACGATATATATAGCTCAAATGCAAAGGTCTGCAGTTGGCCATATGAACTCCATTCCCAAGTGACTTCTTAAGGAAGACGTCTAATAGCCCTTCATATTAGGTTTCCTTTCTTAGAAAGCACAACTAGAGTCATATCAACCTTCCTCTACATGCAAACTTATTCACATGACTGAATCCTTCCTGGTTTTCTGCCATTGTCCGCAAAATAGACTGAAAAATAAATGTGTTTTTGTTCAAGAACTGCAAGGCCTGAATATCCCAGTTTCAGGGAGGAATAAAGCATGAAATATATGACTGCTCACATATTGAGAAACTGAGATGTTTATGTTACAATTATGTTTAACTGCAATTATAATGAAGAACAAATTGTAATTATAAGCACAGAAAAAAACGAGAATTATTAACATCACAGAATCTAAATATGCAAGCATACAGCCTGAATATCAATCTTCTGCTTTTTTCAACAGACCCTTGCCTATTAGTTTTCTTGTTTCAAAACAAGAATGTCCCCTTAAGCAACAACATAGCTTAGTCTGGAAAATGGACTTACAAAATGTCCAACTTCAAAACAGTAGTAATCCTCTCCTCCCTTGCAAACATCTAGGATTATTAGGTGTGTATATTATTTAGAAGTTTGCTTGGCTGGAAGCACTCTTCATGTCTAGATATGTTTTTTCAACTGTCCCCAGTTTTTCCATTTGGGACATCGCAGCAATTATCTCTTGCTGAGATTGACCTGAAACTAGGAATTCACGTTCCTCGTGGACATAATTGGACCATCAAAAAGGCAGGACTAGACCATCCACACACAAAAAAAGGGCTATCTTTACTTTTCAACAACAAAGAAATGCAAATCCCTATTTCAAGTATTAAAAAATTATAATAGAAGCACTTCCTGGATTTCACATCCAACAGATATTGCATAAAATGCATAAACTATCCCTCCGAATACTCTGCTATCCATTGACTTCATTACATAAATTTTGCCATAACAGGCTTTCCAAGCCCGTTCCTGATTGGCTGCTTTTCATGGCTTCAAAACCAAATTATATCTATATAACTAATTTTAGCCTCAGACAGTATTCCATTTATTCCCTGAAGCACCATATGGTGGATTCTTCATTTTAAAGTGGTTTACCACATGTTATATTTTAATCTGATACAATACGTAAGTGACTGTAATTCTCATGACCTTTTGAAATGATACCCCACTATAAGACTAAACTCTTCTTTTCATAAAAAAGTTTTGTGTGTTGTTTTTGAGAGGTCTATGAATGAGTGTAAGTGATTAAGTTCCAAATTACCCATTAATTTAAGTTATGCTAACTATTGTTATCCAATTTAAATAAATAATGGTTTGAAAAAATGCCAGTATTATACCAGGTGTCCTGAAAGCAGCAGAATTGATAGCCCAAATTCCTATGGATGATTTTATGTTCTATTCTCTCAATGATTGTAACACCCAAAGTCCTCCTACATCCTTACATCTTTTTAACTATACAATTAGTGTCCTATGTACTTCCTAAATATTCTTTACTTATCATGAGTACTCATGTGAATTTTCACTTGCGGTAGCCTTAGCTACCTCCCAGTCACCCATGACCTTCGCATCCTACTTCAGTACTACCAAGCTCCCAAGAGTTTCAAAAGATAGTACTTCTTTCAGAGGTAATGATTTACTGACAACAAATGCACATTGGCTGGCCAACAACTGGTTGGAGCAGAGGTCTTCTGCTTTTCCTGCAGTAAAACACTAACCGTGTAAGCCCCTGGAAGCGTCCATCCCTTTTACTAAAGTTTGAAAATGGAGAGATGGCTCATAAGTTTTTAGGCAGAGACTAACGGACTGATCATGTAAACTTCACCTTCCCTGGAAATCTGGGTAATGAAAAAGTTAATTCTTAGAATGCAATTGCAAATAAACAAAATAAAAAGTTATTATGATAGAAATTCACAAAAAAAATACGTGATTAGGGAATAGGTATTTTTAAAAGTTTACACAAGACAGTCACTTCAGATTACTACTACCTTTATTTTCCCTCCTCACACCTAGTAATAAAGATGTAAAAATATTTTTTAGTTGTGTGCTGAAACCATCTCTTTTCATGTCTCCCATAAAAAAATAAAGCTCACCAGCATGTTTTTCCACATGTAAGAGCAAAAGCCTTTACAGATGTCTGCCCACAACCTATCTCACAAGGTAGCCGAAAATCCAAGAATTACTGGTTTTGCTTTGCAGTGGCACACAATTTTGGATGAATAAACTACTGTTGTACTTTTAAATCCCCAAAAGTGGTACAGGTACTTCACAGGCAGCTTTTTCACGACATGCCAAAAGGCAGGGTATGTTAGCTACTCAAGTGTCAATGTTCAAATGCTACAAACCCCAAGTCTAGCAGAAAATTTCTAATTTTACATAAAGCAACCCAATTCAAATTACCAAATTTATTATGTAGACAGCTACATCACAGGCACAAAATGAGACTTCTCAACATGCATTCTGATTATTATTTACACAAGCAGCATGAAATTTTAATCATCAATCATATACTGCTATGTAATATTAACTATACTTTAAAACTATAGCTCTCATAATTCATGTGTATATATTGCAAACATCTTGAAGGACAAAGAGAATGACAATTTAACAACACATTTTTGCCTAGAAGAACAGCATAGTTCCTATTCTGAAAGATATTTAAATTTACAAGTCAGCAAATGGGAAGCACTGAACTTCCTCTATGGAAAGAGATGTTTCCTGTAACACTGCTGAGGATGACACTTTTTATCGTTTCCTCAGTAGCTTCATAAAACACCTTATGGGTAAGGCTACATTAGTCTGCTAATTACACTACATACAGATCCTCTAAATTCTCTTCCCTTTTTATGGTATCATAAAATGTCTCTCCCAAGAGACCAAATTTCTTCTCTTTCAGATCTCAGTGTTATTCACTATGCCATATATCTAAGAGAAAACCACATATCCTAGATCCAGTCCCACTTTTCCTGTCTCACTGAATCTGGGAAAAAGTTAATTTTTCTAGATTCTTATGGAATACCTATTCTCATCCTTCTGAAACAATAACATTTTCAATAGATGCAATTTACCAAAACTTATTATTAAGCATACTGTCTTGTCACAAAGCTCTCAATAAACTGACATTTAGTGGGCCGTACATAAAAACAACACACCAAAGGGAACTTAGCTTTTCTGTATCTCCACAAAGCAATCCATTTCTAACCAACTTCTGAAGCGTAAAATACTATTACATTCCGATACAAACCTGCCAGTTTATATTGTTAGTGAAATGCAAACGGTTTAGGAGGTTTACCAACACAATTCTCGTGTTTGTGGAAGAAGAGAGTTCTATGGGTGATCATTTTTATAATTTAACTCTTATCTTGAAATGGCTGTACATTGTGAAATTCAAGTTCAGGAAAGCCAAAGGTACCACAGTAAATATTGCCATGAGCAAATCTCTAAAAAAAGCTTTCCCTAGACAAAGATAACAAGATATCGGCTGTTAGTGTATGTTCTTAAATTTACAACTAAACCAAATAAAAAGTCTGTGGTCAGATGCAGTTGGTTTTAAACCTCCTTCACCTTTGATTCTCTGTTTATGAAAAGGATTTATTCCTTTCTTGTTAAGTCAAGAGAAATGTCAAGAGACCACTGTGATTCATCATCAGCTCAGGATCATCCAAATGAACTAATCTTTAAATGTGCCTTGACGTTAAGACTTCAGAAAGAAGTGCCCACATCCAGCATCTTCCTTGGCCAGGTTAATCCTATTTAACTATTATTGTTTGAACAATATATAAATTAGACCTAGTCAAAGGGAAAAAAATGCTGCTCCATCAACACTCTACAAGTTACAGCAACTCCAACTGTCTTAGAACTCCTATGCAAAGTACAGGTGAAAGCAAAGAATTTAAGCCACTAAAAACCACAATTTGGAGAGAAGCCATTTAAAAGTCATTTATTTTTACCAGAACAGTATGGGTAAAGACAGTCTGATCACTAAGTAAAACAAGAAGTAAACAAACCAGTTGGTTCAAAGCACTAGAAACTGTTTCTAATGCAAAGTTGTATTTTATTTTCACGTCTGGTTTAAGTTGGTATTTCCCACCATGACTATGCAATAATAGCACTTTGCTAAACTGTGAAGGCCTGAACAACTCCTGAAGCGACAGTTCTTCCCTATCAGGATTCTAACCACTTACAAAATACAGTCCCATGCATAAAATGACCAAAGGAAGTTGGAAGAGGGAGAGGGAGGCGACAGAATTGGAAATAAATGACTACACAAACTGGATATAGAAATTGTAAATACCTCCTGCAGAAAGCAGCTTTACTACATGAAACAACCAGTGTCTCTAACCCTCTACCTAATTTTCCTTTGGAATCCTCTATTAACTTCCTACAATCTAGCAAGAGATTTCTTGACCTGAAAAGGCTAGACATTTGTTATTACGGCAGATCAATGATTTCGTAAAAGTTTTTGCTTCAGTTCCTTCTGAACTTTGAGTCCAACCAAACCATTGTTCACAGTCAGACATTATTAAGATGGAAGCTAAAACAGCGTGCTAACAGATAATAATTTAAAAGGCATAAAGTGCATGTACCTGAAGAAAGCTGACATTCTCTACGACAAAAATTAAAACACCCAGGTTTATTCTAAAAGAGAAAGATTTCAGAAATACAGCTAGCTTGTACGCCTTTAAAAGCAATGCAATATATATAATCCCATATACTTTTCCATGAAGACAACTGAATGAACAGCTACATACTTACTCTGATTTTAAAAGAACTGAATTCTTTCCCTCTTAGAAAATCTATTCTATGTATGAACCCTGCTCTGTATTGGGTTGATACAGTCAAATGTGAAATGAATGGATGCTGAAAGCAAGCGCTGCACAAGAAGTCCTTTACCTGACCGGTTTGTTCTCAGGGCCAACGTCTCTGAAGCCCATCTCTTCCAGTCTGCAGCGTCTGTACAACTCATAATGTCGTGCATGAGTCTGCTCTCTTAAGTCTTCCATATTTGTGCAAATGAGCATCTCGCGAAGCTTTACGAAGTCACAGTGGTTCTCATTTTCCACTAATCAGTTAAAAGAGGAAGATTTTATTATCATGCACAAGTAGCAAAATTGTCAATTATTTTGTTTATTAATTATACTTCCAGGAAAAGGTATCTCATTTATTATACCTCTTATACTTCCTTATAATTTCTAATATACACATTGAAGCACTAACTGTAAGTACTGGTGAACATGTTCCAAAACATCCTGATTTCCTGTTCGAGTTGAACAACGATAAATTTCTCACTGTTTTTCCTTCTTCTTTACTGATAATCATAAAATTTGGCAGTGCTACAGGCACTACCACTATACTAACCTACCCAAATATTACATACACCATCTCATAGTTTGATTACAGGGATGCGTCAGTGCTGATGAAACGAGCAGTTAGTGCACAGCTCAGGTATTAACTGAGACTCTGCTTAAACTGTTGATCCAAAATACAATCAATATGGCATCAGTGGATAATACCAGCCCCTTTTAGTATTGGTGAATTTTATACTTCAACAACAACAACAGAAATCTCGTAAAAATACCTTTGAGAATTCACTTACCTTGTACAATGCCCCAAGGGTACTGACGAGCCCTCACCATTTTGTTTCCAATTTTCACCTCTTCCGTACTTCCCACTACAGCAAATGGCAAATGCCCCTGTTAACAGTCACACCAATACAGTCTTACCTCTCAGCATTCTTATGTTAGAACTGAAAAGCAAACCCTTCAGAAACAAATTAGGGGGGAAAACACACCATTTCAGGAAAAGTCAATAGGCAGCTTCAAACCAAAAACCAATTTGAAGAGATCAATAGCTAGTCAAACTACTGATACAAAAGTCAAGCTACAGTAACAAAACCAGGAGGAGCAGGTGATAGACCAGATGGGTGTGCTGCCAACTCAAAGGAACCTGGACAGGCTGGAGAAATGGGCCAACAGGAATCTCATGAGGTTCAAATGAAAGCAATGCCAAGTCCTGCACGTCAGGAGGAGAAATCCCATGCTCCAGCACATGCTGGAGGGGGCCAACTGTCTGGAAAAGCACTTTGCAGAAAAAGACGCGGGGTTCCTGGTGGACAACAGGTTGGACCTGATTCAGCAGGTTTGCCCCAATGGCAAAGGCAGCCAAGTACATCCTGAGCTGCACTAGGAAGAATAGCAACAGTAAATAGAAAGGTGCTCTAGAACACATCCCTCTGATTTGCATTCAGCCAGAGTTCATATCCCCAGTAACGGTCATGAGACAATCACAAGTTTGAACCCGAGGTATGATTACTGCTGTGGGCTCGGCCAAATGGCGAGAAATACAAGCTGGGTACTGACTGTCTGTGTGCTGACTCACAACAACTGACCAAATAAAAAATAATAATAAAAAAATAATTAACTGGAAAACAAATCACTAGCAGAGCATGAAAGGGGATAAGTAACAGACCACCACCCTTCCCCATGGCAAAAGGACCTGTTACTGAATGACAGCCTGCACATCCTCACTCCCTGGCACAAGTGACAGAGGTTGGGACTGCAGAGCCATATACACCGGCATACGGGCTCCTCCTCCCTACTTTAAAATCCCAGTACATGCAAACATATGTTCATGTGCATCTACAAACATATGCACATGAACAGCAAATACAGACAGACTGCTCAAAGCAAAGATTTCTAGCCTCACAAGCCTAGGTGAAGCTGGCAGATACTCCTGGGAGGATCTGAAAGGACAATAGTAAAAAAAGCAGAATTATATCTGACTTTTTAATCCCCAGAGAAAATTTGTCCTAATTTCAAATGAAACTACTAAATAAAAGGAAAAAGCAGATGGAAGACTTGCTATCATGAAGACCAGAGGAAACTGAAGAAACGAGGCACTCGAGTACCTTCCGTAACAGACGTAAGGTAGTATTTGCTGAGGAAAAGAGCAAAGCCAATCTGTCCATCTATGTTAGTAATTATATGTTAATTATCCAGAAATTAGGAAAAGTATTTTTGAGTGAGAGCCTCTTTTCTGTTGCCGGGCCAGAAGAGAAAAAGGCTCCTAAAACAAGCGGTATCAACAGCAGAAGGATAGGAAGATTTGCAAGTGGGGAAAAAAAAACCCAAAATATACAAGCTTTTTAAGTAGAGAGAAAAATAAATCGACAAACTTGTTATGTACAAACCTACAAGCCTCAAGATGATGGTGAAAGAACAGGCATGAATTGGCACTAGAGACTAATGCTTTAGTACTGAAATATCAATGTTGTTGTCATTTACTTACATTCATGATGGTATTAATTTTAGAAATGGTTTCATCATCAGTTGGAAACTGGTATATCTGGACGCCACTACTAACTAGTTCACTCATGATTTTGTTCTTGAATTTCTGTAGTTCAGTTTTAGAAATGCTGTCTGCTTTGCCTATAATTGGTATAATGTTCACCTATTGAAGATACAAATTATATGAAATGTGTAAGACTTCAATTTTTAGGTGAGATCTTTTATAAATTAAATTTTTTGGTGATAAGCTCTTTAAAACTTCCCCCACAGTCAAAACTTTTCCATCAATTGATATCAAAGCTTCACAAACCATGAAAAATACTTTGTTAAATGATGCCAGTGAATGTAACAACAGATTATTTAATACACTCCCTTAAAATTAATTGATTCTGAGAAAAGAACAAGGAAGGAGGTTTCACACAGTGGAGTACTCAAAAGAACAGCAACACCTACTTATTAACTAAATGACATTAAGTATTTATATCTCTGCTAAAAAAATAGGTTATTTTACTTTATAGCACCAGGGAACATTGCTCAGGCCTTAAATGAAAGTTGACAGTTTAAATACATAGAGGAAAGGAAGCTGGCTACCAAACCCTGCCTACTCCTGAGCCTCTTCCTTGGGTTCCCTTCAGCTACAACATCTTGTTCACCTCAGCACTGCAGCAAAGAGCTTCTCAAGTATGTGCTGTGAGCAGAGGAACGACAAAGACTGAAGAATCTTGCTTACCAGTCTTTACACCAATTATTTTAGAATTCAAAATTCAGTTCTACTAAGGTAAACTCCCCTATTTCCTAAAACAGTTATGGCAGTAACTTAGGAAGGTAGTAGATGCCAAATCTTTCTTTACAATACTACCACCGCTCCCAAAATACCCATTTTTCAGAACTAGATACAAATAATTAATGCCTATGTCCAAATATTTTGGAAAAAGAATAAAAATTATTCTTCCAGATGTCAGAAGACAAGAGTTTTACAGAGTTCCTTGATCATAGATGCAAAAAGGAAGGAGAAAAAAAATAAATCACACACACATTCTTTTTATTCTTCTGCATACTCTGTCTGAATGGAAATGCCTAAACAGGGACTGTCAAGAACAGATTCAAAATGGATGCTTTTGAAATAAGTTTTCTGTCTTCAGCAATATGTCCAAATAAAAAAAAAAAGCATACCACCTCCAAAGTATGACTTCTAAGATTACCTGATGATGGTCTTTAATTTGTGTAGGATATGCAAGCTAAGCACATACAGGGTAAAATAGTTAAAATCAAATAAAATGCTAGAATATTTTTTTAATAACTGAGTTAAACTAGTATTATATAAACATTCTATTACAGCTAGGAGTAATTCACAGCTTCAATCAAATTAGCTGAGAGACATGAATTTAGTTTTTCTATCCTATAGCTTTAAAAATAGATGGAACGCAGAGATGGAACACAGAGTCCTCAAAATTAAATTAACCTTTACTCTGTCTTTTCAACATGAAAGTTTTTAAGCACCTATTAATTAGGAACGAATTTCTTAGATAATGAATAGCAGAGAAAAAGTACTGAGAAGACCAGTAACAAAAGAAAAGCAGAATCACCAGAAACTGTGATTACAGCTATCAACATTGATGTTAAATCACAACCAGTGCATTAAAATTAAAACCCAATACTACTCTGGCTTCAGATAAGCAACAAGAACAACAAAAAAAGTTATCTTTGCTTTGGCTGTTAAACAAAATTTCTGCTTGCAGCATCAAGGCTTACTTGAAAACTAGTATCTCAGTACTTTCATCCAAGAATAACATTAATTGACAGCACATACTTCTACTAACAAGAGACTTAAATTGTATTGATTTGGACCACATATAGATGTGCCCCAAGTCCCACTGCTCCCTCCTATGCCTACTACTCACTTGGAAACCAACTGACTCCCTTCCAGCCTCTTCCTCAGCTACAACTCTCAACAACTACAAAACTAAATGTTGCTACAAAGCCATAGGCCATTAATACAGAATCACTTTAACCCCACATAAAAAGTCTACACTTGCAATAAAACCAACAGTCCTGCCCTTCCCCTTGCCTGCAGTTGCTCACTGCCAGGTAGAACTAAAATCTGTGCAGCTGCAAAGGAGACAGATTACTTTTCAGTTTCATCAGTTCCCTAACCAAGCATAAATCTTTAGCTTTCAACTTAAATCAGTTCCCTCATCCAGGGAACTGGCTGCCCAAAACACTTAAGCATGCATAATGGGAAGAAGCAGCTGAGATTGCTTCATTCAATAGCAATGCAGAATAACCATATAAAATCACCAGGATAAACTTTATCCATGCACTTTACTTCTCTGTTTGCTAGCACCAAATTCAGCCCTCTGATCATCCTTCTGCCTGAAATGCAAAGTGTTGCTTCCTCCCCTGCAATCAGAAAACACGCTATTACTCTAAATTAAGATTGTCATGTAACACCTTAGATGAATGTCAAAACATCTGTTGCCCCTTTATGCTACAGAGAAGGAAACAAAAATACACATACTTGAAATTATTATTGGTTGATATCTTGACGGCTGATTTAAGTGGATCTCTATGAAAAATTTCCAAACATTCTTTTTGAAGGAAAAAAACCCAACAAAAACCTCAAACCCCACACGGTACACTCATGTCATTTTCTGACTTAACAGTCATCTCTATGTAATTCTGCAAGATGTAAAAATGCAGATTTGTTAGTTGAATAATCACTAGTTCCCAGCAAGAAAGCACACAGAAGAAGATTCCCTTAATCTGTGAACGAAAACTCGCTGGCCTGTAGTGATTCAGTCCTAAGCAAAACTACAGGACTTTCCAAAGTCTATAAGCTAGAGAGCAAATTCTTAGCTAGTCATCCAATTTACAAGCAATAGAGAAAAATTAATTGCCCACAGATACCTCTGTGTTTTTCTCCTGGGATTATAAAGTATAGGATGACCCTATCCTATTCCAAGAACCCTCTTTACCTCTGAGCTGTGTAATCTCATCTTGTTTTGTACCAAGCAGACCAAAATAAAAGCGTAATTGTGTACACTGTGGTGGATTTAGGAAGAAACTGAAGACAACTTTTGACATAGATTTATACACTTAATGTATGCATGTTGCTGTACCACCTTCTCTTTACGGAATCCCGTACTCAGCAAACACACCCAGGGACTTCCACATCCTGGGAAGTCCCAAGTCTGAATTGCCACTAAGAGAATGCAGTACTAAAAGCATCACAAACAGGTTCCACAATGAGGTGGAAACCAAACTACAGGATCTTTGTGTATACATATATTTCTGCAGCAATATCAGAAAGTAGAATCCCTTGCAAAGAGAGAAAACAACAAAGTTACACACCGTTCATGTTCTCTCTGAGCCAAAGTAGAACCAAAAATACAGTAGGTAGCTAGAAGCTAAAATCTCCCAAAGCACAATTACTTTTGTCTTATCCTGATGGAATAATATTTTCTGAGGATGCGAGGACGCATGGATCTATTTCCTTTTCTTTTGGAAGCAACACTGTTTTAAAGGTAGTTCAGTAAAGAGAGCGCACAACCTAGAAACCAAGTATTTTTTTGGTTTAACACAATCTCCAACTTCAAAACTCAGAGGAGAACAATATGCTCCATGAAACTGTCCCATTTTCTACTATCAAGGCTCTTTAGCTATCAGTGCATATTACAGAGTAGTTTCACAAAAATTTTAATTCGGCATAAACCAACACCATAGAAGAAAGAAGTGACCCTGCTCTCCCCTACCTCTGTCCCACCGTATCTCCCCGCCGCTTGCTCTGTGCTATTGAGAAAGTGCAAAATGCAAAATACATCCACAAACAAAACTACAAAAATACCAAATGTGCTCATCAATCACAAATGTGGAATAGACAGCTGAATTTATCCTTGTTGTCTTGAAGAAACAGCTCATGAACAAGAAAATGCAGAAAGAAAATTTAGCAGGAGAGGCTCTAGTAAAGCACAAAAGGGAATAGCAAATCCATTGAAGTTTTCAAATTTCTCAAAATTTCAACAAATTAAACCCAAATGATGAAAGATTTCTTAAAATGGGTTAAACATTTAGCTTCACACAGCCCCATAACAGGAAGAAAGTTAAGAATTTAGAAAGTGCCAGTAATCACATTAGAAATTGCAATTTTAAAGCTTTCAAAGCAAATCAAGACATGAAGTTTAAAACACTAATGCAGCCTATCTTAGAAAAACCCACGCTGGCAAGGTGTTCTGTTCATGGCACTTGCCTCTTCAGTTATCTGTAACAAAGATCTTCACAGTGCTGCAACGCTTTATATATGCCAACTTTCCAGCAGTTCCAAAACTCAACAGTGAACTAGAAACAAGCTTAGTCAGAAATATTACAGCACTCATGGAGGGTACCCTAACCAACCACACTAAGATGTTAACAGTTTGTTAGAAGTCAAGTTGGTGTGATCCTACTTTTTTTTAAACCTCGTTGTGCTGCTTTATTTAACGTGTCTCTCTCTCCTTTTGATTTGTAAATAAACAGGTGATGAACTGCAAACTACTTGTGGAACTAATTTATTCTGAACTTAAGGTATACCAGTACCAAAAGATATCCCCCAAGCCAAACACACAGGTATAGAACTCAAAGGTGGTAGAGGATCTAAAACCTGCGAGATGCTTCAGAAAATAAGACAAATTCTTAGAACTCTGTTTCAAAGTCTTACCTTGCTGTCTAGGTTTTTCATGGTTAACAAATCTAGGGTTTTTAGGGAATGGCCTGTAGGTGAAATGAAATAGAGGCAGACATGGATGCGAGTATCATGGTAGCTAAATAAAGAACGTTTAATTTTCAGTTCTTCCTGGAGATAGGCTTCAAATTGTGCATCTATATAATCCACTATTGGCCGATAACTGTAAGAAATAAAATTCAACAACCAGAGATTAGCTACTCCTAAACACAGCCAGACTAAGAAAGGAATTCCTCTTGTATTGTTTTGTGGATTTTTGCTTTACATGTCAAAAGGCTGCTCAAGTATCTACCCAGTACAGCAAAAAATTACATGTACAGAGTAATCTTAATTTCTGAAAGGCTACTCAAAAAAGAATTGTGTACCTAATACAGATAAAACATTTCCTAGCTACTATTAGTGAAAAAAATCTACATAAAGTTAGTTATGATTATAACTGATCTTCCCAAGTGATGTTTTATGAATTTCTGCAATCAAGCTGTGTAACTGCAGAACTCTTAGATACAAGGAAGATACAAGAAACTCTTAGATACAATACACGAAAAGAACGAACATGCAATTACCAGTACCAAGAAATAGGACCTCCTTTATCTTCTGAAGATGAAGTACTGTACATGAGAGAGCTCTTAAACAATAGACAAAAATTGAAAAGCAGGAATGTAAGAGAAGAAAGTAAATCTCATTTGCAAAAAGTACAGTTTAAGTATACTTTATCCTACTTAAACCAGATTATAATCTGCTTTCTAAAAGAAAGTGTTGCTACCTGTACAAGCAGTGTACCCTTACATTTCTACTGCTACAGTTTATAAACCAGATCAAATGCTATCAAAATTCAGAAGTATTTGTTAAACACAAAATTAAAAGGACTAAAAGCAGCTCCTATACCACACATCAAAACCTCTATCTATACTAATATCTACTTGCACCTCACTCATCCAAGTCAATAGCAGTAGCTATTTTCCAGTCATATCATAAGCCATAGCTCTCATGATAATCTTAATGTGACTCTCTAACCTTTATTTATAATTACCACTATTTAGGCATTCATATAGCACAAAGGATTGCTAAATACTTTACAATTAAGATGAAAGAAACAAAATCTGCCGAGAGTCAGTTCTGTATTTTTAAATCTTCAATTCACAAAAGCAGAGACTCAAAAAGACACTAGCGTGGTACCTCTACAGCTTCTGATTAAGCTGTCTAACCTAAAAAACAAAGGCCTTCAGTAATCCACATGATGTTCCTTCCAGTTGAAGGTCTTCAATATGTTCCAATCAAATCGTTAAAAACCCTATACATCTAATCTATATAATCTACAGTACCTTATAACCTGTTTGGTTGTTTAAAAAGTCTCCCATTGACCTTCTCCCTGCTTTCCTCCGCCCCAAAAGAAACTCTAGTGACTACTGCACATTTTATTTGCATACATCTATAAAAGATTATCTCATAAAGAAAGGGTCAGAGTTCATCTGATTTCTCAAATCATTTCCTAGATGAGAAGAAAAACTTGTTTACTTTGGTACACAGAGTAAACAGTTAATCAAATATTTGGAATATATGCAAGACAAATACTACAAAGCCCAAAGAAAAATCACCTTGCAATTGAAGACCAAAACTTCTGCGTACCATAGCACAAGGGGGCACTTACCTATCTTCTTTGTTTATCTGGTCACCAAATCCCACTGTATTTACAATGGTCAGCTTCAAAAGAACATTATTTTCTTGGAGTTCGTAAGTCTGGGCTCTAAGATGTACACTTGGCAGAAAATGCGATGACACAGGGTCATCAAAATTGGTGTTAAATAAACTGTTTATCAGGGTTGATTTCCCACTTCCAGTTTCCCCTAAAGTTAAACAGAAGGGTTGGGGAAGATATTTTGCACATCAAATAAATACCTACTAAGCACAGAAAGTGTTATCACAGCAACTCAACAAAACTTGTCAACTGATTTTGCGGAGCAAAATGGTTGCCTGCATTCCTTTTTCATAATAAGCACTAAGTATCTTTTAGTTATTTTTTTTCATCCTACAGATAAGAGAGAGTAACCTGCTAATGAGTAATAAGCAGAACAGTCTCTTGACACTTCAGTTTCTTTAAAAGCGTTAACTAATTTCTTACAGATTTAAAACAGCTGAGTAACTAGCTGTGAAACCATGGGGTTCAACACAGGGTTTTTATGAATAAGGGTAAAATACCTGAGCTAACCTTTGATAAGTATAGAACTACTTCAGTAACACCACCTTGGAATTTTAGGATTTTCTGACCTCTTTATTACAGTAAAAATAGAGAGTGTAGCCAAGTTTACTCAAAAGAATCCAAGAAGCTGCCAATATATCAACAAATGCTTGGCATCCATTTTCAACATTTTTGGTCTTCATATTGTTTAGGAAAATGCTAAATATAAAAACAAAGGATGGATACAAACAAGCAAAGCTGGGGGAAAGGGTGGAATTATAGTTCATGCCTAGCATTAAAGAAAGAGTTTACCATTGCAACTGGATTTAAATTTCAGTCACTTCCTAAGGACAGGTATACTTCTAAAGCCTTAAGCCAACCAGAAACTACTCACCAATGCAAAGAATGTTGAAGCAGAAGCCCTGCTTGATAGACTTTTTAACCAGTTGATCAGGTAAACTGCCAAAACCAACATGCCCGGACAAGGATAAGGTTCGATAGCCATCATTTTGCTACAGAAAAATAATTTCAAAATAAGTTAGTGAGGTGAGTTGCAAAGCAAGTAACAATGGCAACAAAGGAACTGTACTAATACGCTAGAACTCATTCCTTATGATTTACATGGAACCATGAAAAACAAAAGTCTGAAAAAAAGATCTGTCAAATCAACTTTATTCCAAGATTTTAAAAAAATGTTCACATATACTTTGCAGGACTATTTGCAGGCTCAAAGTGAAGTCCATGTTTTGCAAAAAAACCCACATGAACAAAATAAAGTAGACAAGTCCAACAGAAAAAGTGATCTGAAAACTGTAGACAGAAAATAGATATTAATTGGTTTGCTCTTAGAAATGAAGAAAAAATATTTAAAAACTATTTAAATGGCAGAATTCAAAGCAGAGACCATAATCACAGGAAGGTGTATGTTATCAATCAGAACTCGTTCTGAGTAGCTGGAATGTAAATTGTTATTTATGTAAAATAATACATTATCTACCCACCAGAACTCTAGAGATAATATTATATATCTTACTGGAAATGTCTAGAGGTGCACATTCCCTTTTAAATGTCAGCTAGCAATCTAGCATCATGACATCAAGGCAATGAGCATACTAAAACATGTATAAGATTAAAAGGAATTATCTTGGTTCATACAAATGAACTGTACTTTTAAACAAACATTCCATACAAAAAGGGTAAACAGTGACAGGTCCATACTATTCTTTCTCTTACGTTTCCAATCCACATGCCATTACTGGTTCCTGGGAACAAGTATATAGCCAACAGTAGGAAAATTTTTATTTAACACTTAAAAGCTCATAAAAGTGTCACCTTTTATAATAGGTATGCATAGCAAGTTTCAGAATTCTTGTAGCTAAAAGGATATGGACATTCCTGGCAGCAAATACTCATCCTCTTCTTGTATTGCACAGTACTTCTTGTGTGAGACTACAGACTGCACTAATTCTCATTTCAGACTATTATAATCGGACAACTCCATTTTAAACTAATATAATGAGGAAAAACGTGCAAGCAAAGTGAACAATTTAAAGAGAAGATATGATGACAGCTCAGGGCTATAAAAAAATAAATGTTAATTCAAAGCATGTTTGAAAAAAAAATTTCTCAAGGTATTCTACCATATGGAAATTACTATTAAAAAGGGCTGACAAACACTGAAAACTGTCAGTATCCTGTCCACTTAAAGACAGGTGTATCTGAGACAGAGTGGCAGCACACCTAACAACTATAGTTTCAAATCTCTATCGCCACCAATGGAAGACCGTTCCTCTAAAACAACCCATTAAGCCTCCACACCTAAAGCCAGCGCAAGAGGCTCAACATAACCATAGAAGGGAGGCCTTTCATCTTCATGTCACCAGCCTAAACCCAAAACTTGCTGGGCTACCCTCAAAATCCCTGCATAGCCATTCGTGACTCTCCAAGAAAAAAAACCAGTCGGCTTGGATTTCAGTGGACAAACCACCGATACCCACAATATTACTGACCGTTTCCAGAGGTCATTAGAGTAACTACCACGTCATTCACAGGAGACTATGTCAGGATTAAAAAGCGTTTAGCTGAGGAAAATGGTATTGCAGCTGTATCTGCTGTACAGAGCTAAGTGCAGAAACAGATGACTGCAGTCCTCAGCCATTAACTCCATTAACTTCATTTTCAAAAGGAAGGGAGAGATTAATTACAATCTAGCAATTAAACTCAAGAATTTCATAGAATCGTAGAAAAGTTTACTCTTTTCTGGAAACAAAAATCAACAATAATTAGTTTTTCCACTGTTATATTGGCTGCTTATGACTGAAACTTTGGCCAAATTTCTGTATGAAACAGAGGGCAAAGAGAAAAAATAAATGTGGAAAACAAGGTGCCTTCTCTGTGCTTTGCTTAGAAAGCTATGGCTACACTTGTACTCAACAGACATCTGGCTGTATCCTTACTTAGAAATTCATATCAGATGTCCCAGATGGTTAATTACTCCGTATTTGTAAGTTTCTTCAGAAGTGCTTCTTATGGATAAGTACTGCAGTCAGGAAAGACAGTAACAATTTCTGCAATAAGTATTTTTGCAATTGCCAAGATACTCTGAGACATCTCAAATTTGCTGCTATTTTAAGACAGATTATTTCCTCTTTCTTCATAAAAGTTAATTTAGTGACTCTACACAGTTATGAGTGAAAATTAAAGCCATTTTTCTGGAAATATAAATAATAAATATAACAGTACATGGCAAGTTCTATGTCATTTCAGACACTAGACAAAAAACTGACACGAGACACAAAAGTCCTGGTAAATTGTAAAAATAGATTACAGAACCTGGTACTTAGAAGAACGTCCCCAATAGAGAAATTGTGTTTTATGCACAGCTTTCTTCAGTGCTATCCTGGGGGAGGAAGAGACATATCATCTTCACTTTGTGCATGCAGAGATGATACAAAGTTATTAGTGGACATAATAAAGGAAAAGACTAAGAAAGCAAGAACATGAATCTCATTCACCCCACGTGTAATTTAGCACCAGAACCACAACATCACTCTTTCTAATTCTTTCTGTCAGAGGTAATGACACAGTAAACCAAAACCACTAACCACCACCCCCCAAAACCTCATACGTTTACCAGCTGAGCGTGACCTGACAATGAACATACATAACCACAGGATAGGGGAGAACAAGAATTTCAAGCAGAAATAATATTATTTATACTATTCATGAGAACATGTTTTAATGTCTTGCCCTAAAGTTCTTGTTTTAATTAGAAAATTGGCAAGGATGATCAGAAAGGGATAATTCACGGTCTCAAAAAACATTTTTTTTTGCAGATAAATAGTACAGAAACATAGCTCATGTAAGTTCTTCCAAGAAAATGGCCAGAGTTGACTTGATCACAGTACATACAATGAGATTACTGATTACACGCACATGCCAAAAAAAGCAAACAAGCACTACATTAATAGCAAAATTTTAAATGCTAGAGGCAGAAAGATGCAGAATCTATTTCTATTTTTACAATGTATCTACTTTTTTAGGGATTTTCACTGCTACTAAACTGCTCAGACAGTTAGTTGTCTCAAGACTCAACAGAGTCTTCAGGAATCAGCTTCACCAAAAATGCTGCAATAAAAGCTCTTAATTTAGACTACAAAACTTTCAAGAAATATTGTGCAGCTCAACTTGAAACAGTCTCAGTCACGCTGATTTAGAAGCCTATATTCTTGCATGTTTATACTTCTGTTCTCCACGCAAAAAACATTACAGGACCAAGAGGTACTGTTCTCATTTGGAGACTCGCCTCCCTCCACCTTTCTTACAGAAGAATCACTTTGTTTCACCCGACATCACTTGGAGCATTCTCTTAGTAGAAAAGCAATAGCTTACATTTTTCCTTCTGGAATTTTCCAAGGGCATCATGTGTCTCTCCCTCAATGCCAGCACCTCATACAGCTTCACTCTGGTATGGTCTAACTAATATGCAGGGAAGTTTAATCCCCAAAACTGACCATGTGATGCCTGCATTCTTACTACTTCTCAAAGAAATAATAGATCATCCTGTTGAAAACCAAGTTACTACTGTATCACCAGTTTAGAAAAATTGTGACAACTCAAGAATTAAGAAATATAAATCATGCGGAAAGCAATTAAGTCACCAAATTAGCCAGTCTTTCCAAATTAGTATCTGTTAGATGGAGCAGCTAAATTATGCTTGAAGACATCTCATCCAATTTTATTCAGTGAATAACTCAAAACGTGTAATCTGAATGCTACCAGAGCTGTAATACTCCTGCAAATACTTCCTGTTTCTCACCATGTTCTCAGAATTCATACTCTCATCAAAACAGCATGCCATTTAGATAGCTTGAGATGGTCCAAATCACATCTCACTCCTTCTCTCCCCCATCCCTTTTTAAAGGGCTGGTAGCACAGCTTTCATGGAACTGCATCTCTGTTTCTGCAAATTCAATTAATTAAGTATTATTGGTTTATATAAATTCGTCTTACCCATTAAAAACAGCTCGCAAAGAAAAATCATTGCCCAAGACAAAAGTAACATTTCATTTTTTTTTAGTTTGTTTCTGAAAGAAAAAAAAAGTTAATTATTTTTTAAATTTGCCACATATTTCAGACTAAAACCGCACAATACTGGGCCATTCCACAGCAAAAGCTGGGTTGCAGACAATACACATCCCTCTGCCTAAGTCCCCTGCAGAACCAGATTTGTAGTCCAGGCAAATAACTAGCTTGCCACTCTGCTTGTAGAGATGACTGAAATTTGCTCTCCAAAGCTTGAAGAAAAAAATGTAATCAATGTTCGTGTGCTTAGGCAAGAGGCGAGGGTCCTGCCAGGCCCAGGCAGCTACACGGGCTGCATAGAGACCCTGGGAAGGATGCCTGGGCATCAGCCACGAGGGCAGATGACACCACGTTAACGTGCCCATGAACACTCCAAATGTGACTCTTTCAGAGCCCGGAGCTTTCCATTACCATGAACAGGTGTGAACATTCATTAAACCAGAAAATCTGCTTTAATCTTCCAATACAAAATTGCATTACTCTCTTCAGTCAATTGCTTTCCTAATAGCCAAAGTTACATTTAATCCAGTAAACATCAGTGTTGCTATTGTCTCATAACACATGAAGGAAGTAAAAAACTAAACAATTTTGAAACCAAGTAGGAAAATACTTTCAATTTTTGGGTAGTTAAAATCTAAAATGTAGATGCATGGTGTAGGCATGCATACCACTGACATCGCTCTATGTCGATACACGCGTGAGAGAGAGAGGGAGACAGAGAACAGATTGGATGAGAACAGGGAACAGAAAGGAAACCTTGGCAAAATAAGACAGAAGAGAACAAAAAATACAGGAGAATGAGGTAGAAAATAATACAAAGACAAGTCCATGAAGATGCAGAGTTAAGAAAGGAAATACAATAAAATTACATGGAATTAATGCATTTCTACAAAACAGAAAGCAGCACACAGGAGTCAAGATTGGAACAAAACAGTCCCCCCAAAAAGGTGTGTAGAAAAAAAAGTATTGGCCAAAAGGAGACTCGGTGAAAACTCATTTGAGAAATTCCACTCATGGTTGTCAAGTAATTTATTGAGTATGACAGAAACAGTAGACAACTTTTAGGGATTGGTCCAAACAGCAGCAGCTCAGAATTCTTCTCTCGGCTCTTGCAAATGACTTCTTACATGGCATTCTAGTGCACCAACTATTTTCCTTTTCTAGCTCACTTCAACACAGAAAACAGCTGAAGTTGCCTTAAACCATAGGTCGTCACAAGATTTCATTCATACACGTATATATGGAGAGACCTTGGAAGGAAACTTTAGGAAAAAAAAATAGGGGGACCTTTGTGCTGTCTGAAGAAACTTGAGGCAGGGCAGGATCTTCTTGAATGCCCTGATATCACCCAGGATGGACAGAGGAAAAAGTGACAGCCTTGTCAAAAGAGAACAGGAGGCATGATATGCAGACTGCTACTGAAGACAACTTCTGGACTGTATTTTGAGGTATTTAGGAACAAACAAACAAGCAGAGACACTTTGCTAGTTTTCCAAGTTGTGATGACGTGTTTTCACAGACAGCAACGTATTCATTTGTAAATGCCACTAAGGTTTTTCTTCACCAACAGGCATTTAAGTAACTTGAAAATCTAGCACATGCAGTACCTGTTCCTCCATATTGTCTATAGATAGATGTGGCAAGAGGCAGCAGGTGGGGAATCAAGACTTGACAATAGAAAAGAAATGAGTTCCTCACAGCTAGCGCTCCATGTGTCAGACAAAGGATGATCATGACAGCGCTGGTTCAGATCAGCAGCTGCTGCTATGCAGAAGGAGAAAGTGTTCGGTTTTGTAGAAAGGCCTCTTTTGACCTATGTGTTTTCAAGGAAGGAAGAACAAAGAAACGGAAATCTGGTGTAGGCCTCTGAGATGACCTTGACACAGAAAAATACTCACGCTGGTATCAGTACTGGTATCATAACTGCAGTCACTTTCGGAAAATCTGCACCTCTTTGGTTGTGCTGGCTCAGCTGTGCTTGTTGCAGATTTAGCACTGTGTTTCCTGAAGAGCAGTCAGTCAGTTGTCTTCACCCTTGACCACATCAGCCCCTTGTTGTTGCTGCTCCTTGTCCGAATGAGAAAGCAATGCTGGTTTTGGATGCAACAACGGTGCCTGCTATCAGAGGGCCTCTTTGACTGCAACAAGGATTTTTTTTCCCCTCCTTTTTAATTGATCAATGACAAGCACTGTACACTGTTGTACAGGGGCAATAGCTGCCAGAACTTTCCCAGAAGTCAAGTTTTCAAAAGTCAGGAGTACTAAATACTTGTATGTCAGACTTGTGCAGTCTGATTGTAAACAGTTACAGAAGACTGCATTCTGAGAGTGATTTTACATTTCTTTTGCAAAACAACTGAAAACAAAATCTTTCCCACAATGCAGTAAGAAACACTTCAACAATTACACAGCATGTGTTAAACTAGGAAATATTAATTGATGTCGATATAAATATATTTTACATCATTACATTTACATCATTTATATTTATGAACCTAAACCAAAACTACCCTCCTCCATTACAGAACTATGTTATACCTCTGTTTTTACAGTATTCTCTGTAAAGCTTTCCATGTACACGCTTCTCTCTCTTCCCTTACCAATTCTATCCACTTAGTGGACCCTCAGTCCTGCTCTCACTCACTTTTGCTGATTTACTGCATTTTTCCACACTCTTCACAAAAACATTAACCACCAAAATCATTTTATATTGTTTCTCGTGCTTTGGCTCTTAGGTTTTTTTCTTTCCACATTTTTTCGGTCTCCTGCGAGAGCCAGCCTGTCAAGCACTGACTCTCCACCTCGCTAGATACACACATCATGTATGAAGAGACAAAGCTTATATAAAGTTAATGCACTGCACTACGTTATACTGCAACTGCAAAGGATTCATATGGGCCCTACAGAATGTGTGAAATGGACCTCTCTGGGCTGGAGCCCCGACAGAAAGCAAGCTATGCTCAACAGTCAAGTTGTGAGCACGCAGGGAAACATGAATGAAGCCCTTTCACTCCCAGTCTGAGGTTGGCTGGGACGTGGTCGGGCCCTGTGATGGCTCCAACAAATGGTCCAACAAATAATTCCTTCAGCACCCGAACTCAAAGCGGCCCCTCATCCTTCTCACGCCCCTACTCCCACGCCGCTCCCGCTCCCTCTGGTGTGCCATCAAGAAGCAGAGCAAGACACTGCCCCAGATGAAAATCACTCCAAGGAAAGGAAATTTCAAAAGAGTGACAGTTATTTTCCAGGGTTTTTTTTAGTTCACAGGGCAGCTTCGCTCACAGCTCTACCGGCACAACTGAGGCGTGACAGCACAGCGGCAGCAATGAGCCAAGAACCACCGGAGACAGGTACTTCATCTGCCTTCCCGCTGCCAGAAAATGCAGAAGTAGCAAACTACACGGCCAGGGTGGAAGATATTTCCCCCCAAATTCCTCCCACTCCATGTTATTTCCAGAACACGCCTGCGCTTTGAATGGCCAAGATGTAAAAAACGGCAGAAAACTCAAGTCGTAAACGAATCGATTTATTCCACACTCAAAAACGGAGCTAATTTTCCAGCACCAACGTGTGGATGGATTCCCCGTCTCCAAAGCGTAGAGCTGACAGCTCTGCCATGAGCGGTTCGGGGAAGCGTTTCTTCAATAGCCAAGATTCAGCGCTGCAACTTGTTACTTGGAATACGCTACGGGAGCGCTAAGAAGGGGCGACGGCTGAAAACGAAATCCTTTAACGACAAGTTTTTCAAAAGCCTGGCAACTCCGGGAACCAAGCGGGTTTTACTTCGCCCGCTAGCCCGAGCCCCGCGCTGAGGGC